CCAAAACTCATGATGATTAGTGCAAATCAAATATGTTAAGTGGTATTTATACATGAACTCAAGTTCTAACCAGTTATTCCATCTACAGTTTTGTTGTTGGAGATGATATTGCTATTTATCTGGTGTTTATGTTCAGACCTTTGTAGTACAATGTGTGTGAGAACTAGAGGGCATGCAATAGCTAGTAGATTCAATAAGTCTTTCCATACATAAACACATACATACATATGAGCCAAAATACATGAAATATTTTGTATAATATGACTTCACCTGACTGTTTTAATTTGATATGTGAATTGAGGAAGACAGTCAGTATGAGGATCCTATTAGTGTGCAGGACCTTTTAAAGGTAGTCTAGGTTTTTGTGGATGGATTACAGCTACCATACAAACTGGCAGCAGTCCTTTCTGAGTCTATCATCATGAGGCATTTCAATAACAAACCAGGTGATGTGTGTACTAGACTGGCATGAAGTCAGGTGATCCATGACAACCTTGGCGTGCTGTCAGAGCGTTCGTACACACACAGGAAGATTCTCCAGCACTCCTTTCAGCCTTCATGTGTTATTTCAGGGGTAAACACTTAGTTTGTTTCTTCATCAGGCAGAGATCAAGGCTGGTTTGTGCTCTTGTCCAGAGTAACAGGACTTACTATCAAGTGTTGAGAGGTAGCGTCATCATTTTTTTTCTTAAAGCCATTTTGAGCTAGTAGTTGAGATTAACAGCAATGTGCTGTCAACTGCCACCAAATGAACTAGCCTGAAACTGTTCTTCCACATCATCCACCTTAATATACAGGTTTATTGTTACTTAAACTGGTTGAAGCATGAGGGAAGGTATGAAAATACAGATGGAACAAGCCAAGCAAAAGACTGATAGCCTGTGGCATAGCATTCTTTGTGTAGTGAGCTGACATATTGCTAAAGAAAAACACTGACTTATGGAATGTGCCAGCAACTTGGAAAGTGTTTGGTGCCTCTGCATATGCTTGCTCAGAGATCTTTAGAAGTGAACTACTAGCAGGGACATCCTTCAGCACAGCCAGATTATCTCAACTGTAGCTGAGAGGTGTGCGCTTATGAACTTTACCTCGAAGTTTCACTATTTTACACAGGAAAAGAGTATTTCTGGGAATATCTAGGCTTTCAGAGGTACTATTTCTACTGCACAGTGATCAACTCTGCCACCCCAGTGCCTCTCTCAGTGAGAAGACTGAAGTTGTAGCCCAGTTGTCTCTATCTTCCCAACTGTGAGTGGGAATGTTTTCAGTTTGTAGACAGGAGAGATAATGGAACCCCTTTCTTTCTACCAAACCTAGAATAATTTTCTCCTACAATGCTTTATGATTAAGCAGATTCAATCCGTAATTACTGTGTATATATTTCTGAGATGCATTATAAATTTATAACTGTCAATAAAATGACCTTGCAAGCATGTAAAATGTGTGGCTTAAAACATTTCTTGTAGTTTATCTACCATGGGGCAGGAAAGGGTGGGGTGGGAAATATTTTTATTTTGTTTCATCACTAAATTGAGAGAAAATTAACTTTTTTTTGTAACAAGTTTGTTTTTTCACCTTTCAGAGCCCATGACTACACAAACTGCCAACTGGCAAACTCAGGAGAGCCCTTCAAATTATTTGATGCATAATGTATCAATACCTGGTAAAAGCAATTGCATGTTGTCTTCTACTTAAACTGTTAAATTTCAGTTACACTAAAGTTCTACCTTGGTATTTTTCAATCATATTGTTATGGAGGATTTCTGTTAGTTGATAATTACCAATACACACAGTTTGATGTTTAAAGCTGTGTAGAAAATAACTGTGGAAACTGAAAAAAAAATTAAATTGCTGTGACTGTTTTGAGTTTAACTTCTAAGCATAATTTCTAACATTTTTTCCCACAATGTGCTTCAGTTTACTAGGAACTTGTATGGAGGTAGTACAATACTAATGAATATTGTATGTAGAGGTGGAAGGGTGATGCTTCCTTAGCTGGGCTAAATTTCTTGTTAAAATTGTAGCTTAATTGCTTGCTTGCTCTGTTCTTGAAATAGAGTGCATGAGAACATGTATAGTGATAGGAAATGCTTGTGGATGCTTGACTGCCTGATAGCTGTATCAAGCTTTGTGAGCTTTATAGATGTAGTATCTGAATAGTATGCTTTCCATAGCCCTACAGAAAAGGGATTTTGCTGGTCATATTAAACCTTTTGAATATAGCTTTCCCTCACTGAAGAAAGTATATTTTAGTCAGGCAGATGATGGTCAATATTGATATTCTTTGTGTGTGGGAGGAAATTCCCTGCAGTATAACAGGAGTTCTGTGGAGCAGTGAGGGACTCTGACCATGTTCCAGTGGAGCACAGGGTGTTCTTGCCTCTGCATTCATTATAGCAGCATCTAGATTAGATAGTCTACCTCCAGCTTTCTGGCTGTGGTGTTAAATTGTAGTGGAATGGCAGTATTCTGTCTTACTCATTTTTCTAAAGCTTACTACTTTTTAAAGCTCTGCTTAAACATTTATGTAGTCTTATACAGTTCTAGGACCCACCTATGAGCTATAGGTGACTATTTGAATCATACACAGTTATGACCTGTTTGCAGTATTGATATTCACAATTACAAGATTATAATAAAGCTAGAAACCATCTAAAATGGTATAATTACTATAACAGCAACCACACAACACTTATACTTTAAGATTCTGGCTATTGACATACAAGGCATATGAAAGGATCTCCACAGTAGTCAGCATTTAGCAAGGTCCTTTTTCCCCTAAATTTATTTTAAGAAACAGTTGCAATGCTGTATTGATGCTCTGCTGTATGATTACCCCTATAGGACTGTAACATATCACTTTGCTTCCCTCATGACCATCTTAGGTACGGATCCTACCACACTAGAGTTCAAGCAGTCAACCAACAAGACTGTGTCTCCTGTCTCTTTTGTGGAGTATGAGATACTCTTACCTGGTGAGTGTGTTATTTTCTCTTCCAGTTGAGTTGTATTGAATGCCTGTGATTACACACAATCTTTTCTGAGTTGTGTAAGTATCTAGAATGGCAGATTCTTGATAAAGTTAAGATGCTTATAGTGAGCAAGTGATGAGCTCAGTAAAAGAGTAAGTTTGTTGCACGACTGAGTGTTCTAACAACTCATAGCTGTCTGTTCCCCCAAATAAATTCAAGTCATAGTTTCTTTGCAGTGAATCCACTTGGAGAGACCATGTAAGCTAGGGTACTTGTTAACCAATAGGTGTTCGTCAGCTTTGCAGCATTACGGGAGTTAAAGCATGGAAGAAAGGCAAGATAGCATCTTCCTAAAGTAGACGTGAAGTTGCCAGTTCCCCAATAATAATTTAGAAGTAATTTCTTGGACAACTTGGAAAAACTGATCAAACTGAAATCCTTCTCAGTTAGAAAAGAAGTTAGAACTTCTTTCCAAAATTCTGGTATGATATTGTAAGAAAGTAATTGCACAGCATTTGCTGTTATTTTCTTCTAGCAGGAAACTTAAGGTAGTGTCTATATCTTGTTCTGGTACATACACTCTTTTGTACAGAGATGTCCCAGATACCAGTCTTGCTAGTGGTTAATCTTCAACAGGATAGGGTTTTCATGTTCCAGTCATTTAAAGTGTGGGTTTATTTTAAAAATAATCTCAAAAGGTATGCATTCTATTTTTAGCCAGTGTAATTAATGACTGTAAAAGTTTTGCTACTGCAAAATCAATTCTATTTGCAAAATTTCTTTGATCATAAACAACCTCAACAAGGTGAGTTATGCTTGGCCCATTTATTGAATGTAATGACTGTAATAAGTGAGTTGCAGTAACTGACTTCACTATGCTATGAAAGACCAAGGTGTTGCACCTCTAAGTTTAACTGCAGTTCAACAGATCTGTAATATTTTGTCTGGGACTTGGAGTTCTGGGCATGCTGTTCTGTAGGCTGTAAATGTCTCTGCCAGATCCAGTAAAGTTCAGATATTCTCAAGGAATATTTGGTGCTTCCACTTCGGCCAGAATTTGCCCCTGCTAAGTTGGTGAGCTGTACCTTAAAGCTTCATTTCTTCTTTGTAAGAATTTGAGCTGTGAAATACAGCTGTACTTTTTTTTTTGACCATCAGTTCTACAGTGTAGGTACAGGATTGAGGTGAGGCCTGGCACAAAAATTAATATTGAGTATTCAAATGGACTAACAACAGTTGTATCTAGAAGGCATGAAAGAAAAGACCAATTATGAAATAAAATGTCAGTGCTGACAGGTACCAAGTCAGAGGTGTTTTTTTTTTATAAAAGACTGTTTGTATGGATCAAGACATGTGTTGCTGAAACCTGCTTTTTTGGATACGGTCATTTTATGCTCATGGAGCTTGCTAAAAACAATGTCAGGTTTTTCTACTGAATTGGAATGTTTTCACATTGTAATTCTACTGGCTTACCACTAGAAAGGCAAAGGCAGCCATAAATGGGTTTGAAGTTGATTTGGTTTCAAGTTGAGTAGCTGTAGCATGAAAGCCAAGATCCACCAATGTTAAGATTGTGGATTTTATCAGCAAGTTCACTAGCAACAGGACATTGCCTATGAATCACACTATCAGAAATCTGCAACTGGTTAAAACCTGGATGCTTGCAGATATTTGCAAGTCTAACTCTTTTTGATATTAATAAAAATTTTCCCATGGTGAGAGCCAAGTACTTAATATATTTTGGTTTGTGTTAAATTATATAAAAGCATAAAAATGTTTTGCTTTAGTGAAGTATCTGTTTCTATATTAGAGCCCTCTAGGAAGTTTACCTACAGAATGGAATGGCTGTCATTTTTGTAATGGATGGATATCATAGCTCACTTATGGCTTAAAAGAATTACTGTCAAACATGGATCATTTGATTTTGTAGGGTTTTTTTTACCTTGGAAACTATAACAGCAGAACACTGTGTCCACCTGTAATCCAGCATATGTAAAACAGTCTTTGAATCTCTTCTTCCCAGAGAATGAAGAAAGTTCTTCATAAATAATACTTTAAAATTCCTATAGGTGTCTTTGGTACTTCTGTGGAAAAAAATATCACTTTGGACAGTGCAACTAGAATTGAACTTTCATGCAGATTGGACAGTAAATACTCTCATTTGAAAAGTCTTCAAGTGACTTGGAAGAGGGGAAATGAAACAATCGAACACATCAGTAAAACTGACGACAGCCGGGGCATCCAGTAAGTAGCATTCTTTACAGTTTGACTTGCAGGCTTTAGTGAGTTATTGCATTGTTCTGGTTTATTGGGACAGAATTTGAGTTCTCCTCTGTTGAGGAAGACTGCAATTTTGTAAGAACTAACACACTCTATTTTCATGGGAATGAAGTTGATAAAGACTTAGATGTTTCGGCCAATACGGGTATGCAGGCTGCCATAGTGTTCAAGGTCCTCAGGGTCTTGAGATAAAGTTGCAGAGACTGGAGGACGCAGGAACCTAGGGGAGTAAACCCCAAGGTGACCCCAGGCTGACCAATTAGTACTATTCATGCCATCAATGCCACATTCACTATAAATTGGGGAGGTTGCTGGGGACAGCCCTTCCTTATTCCAGTTGATTTCTGTATTGCTGTGGTTTCTTAACATCAATAATATTTATATAAAATTTATGTGATAGAAAATGTGATGAGAACATACTGTCACTTTTCTGCTACTCCATATACACAAACACAACTGTGTAAGTATTTGTTGAAGTGCCTGTGAAGTGTGTAGTTTGCCAGCAGAGAAGATCCTGGAGTTCAATAAATGGCAGCTTTTTAAAAAAAGTTCTCTTGAAGCTATGGTTGCCATTGACAGACAGGCTTTGGAAAGAACAAATCATTTAAAGACTCTGTTCTGCAGCCCTACATAGCATATGCTATATAGTTCACATGGTGAACCCACATCTAATTCGATAACCTGTAGATCATACTGCTTCAAGATATTTGGTCTACTATGAGCAGCAAGGGTGAAAATGATATTTATGTTCTCAGATGTGCTTGTGCTCTTCTGTTTTCTTTAAAGTGTTGCATTGTTTCTACATTGCACTAAACCTGAATCGTAGTGTTGTAGTGATGTGTTCTCTGCTTCACTATTAATCTCTGCTGGCTTCTTTAGAATGTTAGTTAGCAGTTACTGGTAGTTGTAAGATAAAATAAAAAAAGCAAACTGGTGAAACTTTTTTTAAGGTTGAATATCGTGGATAACAGTAAGCTGGGAAGTTACTACTGTACTGTGAAAGGAGAAGAAGGAGAAATCAGCGCTAGGTTTCATTTACAAGGTAATTGTATCTAACATTTATTTAACATAAATAAAAGCTAAATAAATTAATAAATCTTATTTGTTTCACTTTAAATTTTGCTTCACTTGACCACTGAAATCCTGTATTAATGTGATTTCTGGATAGCATGTAAATTGCAACTTGATTTGATAGGCAGTGGCTAATATGGTCAGGCTAAGTGAGAATTACTATCAAAGGTATTTCTATAGAATGGAGGGAAAAAGAATTTTTAAACAAAAAGTAAAAACATTCTTAAAAAAATTTTGCTAGTGACAAATAGAGCATATAAGCCTACTTTCTTCCCTTAAATGAGTGACTGGTAGGTCCTTCCCCCTCTGTCCCTACGGCAGGAGAGAATACTCATCACCTTCTGGGGAATGGGAGGAAAGGTTGGTGTCTCAGATTAATTATTCAGAAAGCAGAGCCAATGACTGGAAAGTTTGACCTGAAATTTTCTTACAAGAAGAGCAGTGATTGGCAGAATGGAGGCAGGTTTTTGAACAAATCCAGTTGTATTTCTGAAACACCAAATTATTGCTTTAGTGCATCTTTCATTCTACATAATAGAAGAAGAGCCCTTATATTTTGTTTGTGTGCCTCATTGGATAGTATGAGTGCCCTTTCCTTTGTTTTGTATTTTATTCTCCAATAATGTTGTCCATGGCTTCATGGGCAAAATTCGTTTGAATGGAAGACATATAGAAATGAAACAAATATAAGCTGCTGAGAACCTTTATCTCTTATGAGAGCTATTCCCTTCTCTATTCCCACCATTGAAATTTTGCAAAGAGCAAGGAAAGTATTTGATCTGTGTAAGCTTTACAGTCTGTTATATGAGAGAGATACTCCCTGAACACAGGCATCTAAAATCCCAAACCTCAGCTGAACTAACCAGCAGGGCTTTGTAATTCCCAATGCTGCAAACTGGCTTTGTTCAGTGGGATTTCTGGTTATATGACTTGAAACTGTCATGTATGTTCAAATCTGGAATAGTAATTTAGATACCTGCTTTCATACCTTCAGCCAGGAAAGACTAGCTTGCAATACTGAAAAAGATTAAATTGTAGTTTATTCAGACCCTCTAATATACTTATTTATATATTTTTATTGTCAACATGTGGGTAAGGTTTAGTTGAATGGCTTCCCAAGTCTGTGTAGATTTAAAAAACTCAAAGGAGACCTTATTGTTTTGAAAGTATACAATAACTATTTCAGTAAGGGCAGGAATGACTCAATAGGGAAGACATCTTTTCCAGAACAATGCATAGGACTACTTGATTTATTACAGGAAGATGGGAGAATTGCTTTACAATGGTCGAATGCTGCCACTTTCGATGCCATAAAAAGAACTGACTTGACACTTTTCAAGATTAATGCAAGAGTGAAGGAAATAGGAAAGAGAAGTCCTTGAATCTTCCATTCAATGCAGAGAGAACGATTCTCAAACTGAAAGATGAGTAATGTGTTGGTGTAGACTCAGTGGCTAAAGTTATCACTGCTGTAACTAACTGCAATAGCTTTTTTCCACTGGGCACTTGGGCATTATTGGATATATTGCCTCTCTTTCGCTTCCCCTATCCT